AAATTTGTATAAATTGTGCTAAATGGTTAATAAAATACCCTGATAAATAAGGCGTTTCCCGTACACTTAAAGCATAAATTGTACGATTCTTTAACACATTGTCAGTGAATTGCATTCTTTGGTTTGCTATATAATGAATGCAATCCTTATTATACACGGAATCCATAAGAAGTGTATTCTTGAACAAACAAATTGAAATAAAAATATCGTTTTAGTTTTAGATTTAATCATTGTGAAACATATTGATTAATAATAAAATCGTGTTTTGTTTATTTTGTTTGTTATAATTATAAATGTAATTAACGCAAGAAAGAAAAATGTAAATGTATGTTAAATTACGGTTGTACTAATAATTTAGTATTTTGTGCTAATATATTATTATTGAATTTAGTACATAACAATGTACTTTTTAATAGTAATAATTATTCTATGCTATTCGGTTAAAACTGCATTTTATTTGATTGTACAGTTAAATCCAGTTTAATTTTAAATAACATTTTTATTAATAAATAACACATTTATTTACTTTTTACTTACATTTACTTTCAATTTAGATGTTGATGATATGGTTTATTAAATTAGATAATTATAAATTGTATAATTAAATATTTATAACTGTAATTTAGTTGATTAACTTTTATATTAGATATTTCAAAATATATAATTGTATTTTTTAAACTATTAATACTAAAACCTCCGAAAAGAATAAAAATAAAATTCTGTATATCTATAATAAAACAATAAAACGATAAATGTAAATGAAATTAATAAAACAATTATTAATACACATTATGTATAAAATTATTTAAATTATATGCAAGGTTAACATGTATTTATAGTAAATAAAATTTGGATATTGTTTCACAGTATATCAATACTTAAATATTCTTATATAATATTACAATAAAAATATAATGTTACTGTTTTATAAATCACAGAAACATTTCTAACTTATATCTGATCAATATATTCAGGACATTACACTGTACTCCAACTTTCTTATTTCAAATTATGCAAAGTATTATAAATACAAAAATATTGACATAATATAATTCAGTAATAAAACTTATAATCTATTGATTACTTTGATATAGATTATAATTAATTGAGCTATTGATTTTTAATTATAACTTTCCGCATATAATAAAAAACAAACTTTACTTTAATATTCATTTAATAATCTAATTATTTTTCATAAACTAAAAATAATATTATTATAGAAAGTGTTAAGTAGCAATTAATGAAATACTTATTTCACAAAGCTGATATGTCTATCACTATCACTGAATAGTCACTATGTTTAACATTAAACACAATATAAGTGCATTTGTTTTTTCCAACCAATAAATGGTTTTTTAGTACTTTTAAAAAGAAAATACAGGAATTCATTATTTTAAACACAAGTTAAACAAAAATAATAGTTTTTTATTTGTAGTTAAATATCATTTTCGATAAATACTTTTAATCAAAAAGACTGCCAATCGATACCGAATTCGTGCATTTGTTTGAATTGTTTATATAAATAAGTTTTTTTGTTGCCATATTTACTATAAAAAGTCACTTTTGCTTCATTTCTAAGACCAGTTCTCTCGTCAAAGACCTGGCATTTAGAATATGGAGGAGAATAGAGATGTAATGACACAGATTTCCAGCTATGACTCCGGTTTTCCACTCGATGTAAACCAATTGAATCTATAAATATTGTAACAATAAATTAATTGCTAAGTTATTATTATTATTTATTTCGACATAATCTGCTTTACCATTAATATAGGCGACATCATTAGTTTTGAGCTCATTCTCATCAATCGCTTTCATATCATTTACATCACTGGTATTGTCGGGCCATTCAAACCGGGTTTCATGAAGATTACCAGAAAGTATCTATTAATTCAAACAACAATCAAATTCTTAATTATATTTATACAGTAATTTGTAAATCAATAATTAATGTTAAATAATGACATACTTTCATAAAACAATGAGCGTCTGAGTGGTCGTGTATAACAGATCCCTGTCCTTCAGACCAACACAGAAGCATTAAATTGTATTTATCATTCCCGGTGTCCACA